GACATGTGCAAAGGCCTGAAATTAGAAAACCAAATGGGAGGAATACACTCAACATTTTTCAAGCTGAAAGAATGGAAAAAAATTTCAAGTCTCAACTTGCAATATTGAAGAACTCTATGAGGAAATATTGAATGATACAAAAGAAGATGAAGGGAATATATATATATATATATAAAATCTGTACCTGGACCAAGAAGCAGTTGTTTGAACAGAACATGGGAACACTGAATGGTTTCAAATTAAGAAAGGTGTGCGACAAGGTTGTATTCTTTCACCATACTTATACAACCTGTATGCTGAGCAAATCATCCGAGAAGCTGGGTTCTATGAAGAAAAATGTGGCATCAGGATTGGAGGAAGACTCATTAACAACCTTCAATATGCAGATGATACAACCTTGTTTGCTGAAAGTGAAGAGGACTTAAAACATTTACTGATGAAGATCAAAGAGCACAGCCTTCAGTATGGATTACATCTCAATGTCAAGAAAATAAAAATCCTCACCAGTGGACCAATAAACAACATTCTTATCAACGGAGAAAAGATTGAAGTTGTCAAGGACGTCATTCTTCTTGGATCAACTATCAACACTCACAGAAGCAGCAGTGAAGAGATCAGACGATGTATTGCATTGGGCAAATCTGCTACACAAGACCTTTTTAAAGTGTTGAAGAGCAAAGATGTCAGCTTGAGGACTAAGGTGAGCCTGACCCAAGCCATGGTATTTTCAATAACCTTATATGCATGTGAAAGCTGGACAGTGAATAAGGAAGACTGTAGAAGAATTGATGCCTTTGAGTTATAGTGTTGGAAGAGAATACTAAAAGTGCCATGAGCTGCCAAAAGAACCAATAGATCTGTTTTGGAAGAAGTGCAGCCAGAGTGCTCCTTAGAGGCCAAGATGGCCAAACTTTGTCTCTTATACTTTGGAATACTGTCAGGAGGGACCAGTCCCTGGAGAAGCGTATCATGTTTGGTAAGATGGAGGGTCAGAGAAAAAGAGGAAGAACCCCAACAAGATGGATTAGCCAGGTGGCAGCATCGATGGACTCAAGTATGGCAACAGTAGTGAGGTTGGCCCAGGATCGGGCAGTGTTTCGTTCTGCTGTGCATAAGATCGCTATGAGTCGCTGCGACTCAATGGCACCTAACAACAACAACATATATATATATATATATCCACAATACCAAAAAGAAATGATCAATGTTTTACAATTTCAAGAGGTAGCACATGATCAGAACTGATGGCACTAAAGGAAGAAGTCCAAGCTGCACTGAAAGCAGCAGCAAAAAATAAAACATGACTCCAGAATTGACAGACTATAAATTGAAATCTTTTAGCAAACTGATGAAGCACTGGACACTCTCATTTACCTATGCCAAGAAGTTTAGAAGACAGCTATGTGGCCAGCCAATTGCAAGAGGTCCATATTTGTGCCCATACCAAAGAAAGGTGACCCAATGGAATGTAGAAATCTTCTAATAATATCATTAGTATCACATGCAAGTACAAGTTTGCTGAAGATAATTCAAAAATAGTTGCAACAGAACATTGATACAGAACTGCCAGAAATTCAAGTCTGGTTCAGAAGAGGAAGTGGAACTAAGGAAATCATTGCTGCCATCAGATGAGTCTTGGCTGAAAGTAGAGAATAGCAGAAAGATGTCTACTTTATTGGCTATGCAAAGGCTTTTGACTGTGCGCAGCATGACAAACTATGAATAACATTGCAGAGAATAGGTATTTCAGAATTCTTGATTGTGCTGATGAGGAACCTGCACATAGACCAAGAGATACTCATTCAAACAAAACAAAGGGACACTAAATGGTTTAAAATCAGGAAAGATACGTGATGTGCCAGGTTTGTATTCTTTCACTATACTTATTCAATCTGTATACTGAGCAAATATGAAGCTAGATTATATGAAAAGGAACATGGCATCAGTATTGGAGGAAGACATCAACAACCTATAATATGCAGATGATACAACCTTCCTTGCTGGAAGCAAAGAGGACTTAAAATACTGGTGAAGACCAAAGCCTTCAGTATGGATTGCACCTCAACATAAAGAAAACAAAAATCCTCACCAATGGACCAATAAATAATACCATGATAAATGGAGAAAAGACCGAAGTTGTCAAACGTTCATTTTGCTTGGATCCAAATCAACAGTCATGGAAGTAGCAGTCAAGAAATCAAGTGACGTATTGTATTAGGCAAATATGCTGAACAAGACCTCTTTAAAGTGTTCAACAGCAAAGATATCAGTTGGAGGACTAATGTGCACCTGGCCCAAGCCATGGTATTTATAATTGCCTACTATGCATGCCCTGGAGTCCTGGTGTGGTGCTGTAGGATAAGTACTGGACCACAATGTCGGTTTGAATCGAAAGTCAGCAGTTCAAACTCACCAGCTGCTCCTCGGAAACCTTGTACAAGATTGCTAAAAGTCGGAATCGACTCAATGGCACTTAACAACATAATAACAACAATACATGGCTTGGTGTGGCACCATAGAATAAGCACTTGGCTGCTAACCAGAAGGTTGGCAGTTTAAATACACAGAGTCACTATGAGTCAGAACTGGCTTGACAGCATTTAACAACAGCAAATAATGCATGTTAAAGTTGAACAATGAATAAGGAAGATCGTAGAAGAACTGATGAACTGATCATCAAGAATTGATTCATATGGTATTGGAGAAGAATATTGAAA